GAAGAGAAACGACTTCAAACTGTTTTGGAATTTTGCATTTAAGATTAAAGAAAAAAAAACGTTTCTCCTGTCAATCTGCTCTATTCGGAAGTCCTCAAGTCAAAAAGATTTTGTTTCACTTTGTTTAATTCTGTATAAAATCTTTAAGGAACCTTTGGCTATCTGATTACTTATCGATTAATTGAAAAAATAATCAACAGATTAGCCGATTATCAAAATAATCCTTAGCTGAAGCCCTTTAATTTTCATCTCTGAGCAGCCATGGGTGTTTTACCAACATCTAAAAATGATAATTTCATTATTCATTGACTCTCCTGGCTGATTTCTTCCTCTGGTTTTTCTCTGCGGCAGGAAAGTGGGAATGGTTGAGTGACTCCGCCTCCATGTTTCCTCCCTGCAGCGGCGCTGCCAGCTACTACTCTCAGTTCGGACGCTCGCCGTGCTTCACCTCTGTTGCTGGGCGACGCTTCCGAGGACTTTTGGAGGAACATCTAGAGCTGCTCCGCTGGCCTGAGGGCGCCAAGGTAAGTGTGACGTGGTGCAGAGACCTGCGAAGTGCTCTGAGGGAAAGAAGATGTCTGATTGTGGCTCAGATTTATCTTGTTGTCATGGTTTCCTGTCTTTGTGTTCTACAGAAAGACCCACAGCTGTCGGTCAGAGGGGAGGATGGGCGGCTTTACCACTGGATCCTCCCTTCCTTCTTCCAGCTCATCAGAGACCTGGCGCAGGAAGGACGAGAGTTCGCCATTGTTTTCCGCACGTTCGGATCAGACCTACCTCGCGTGCTGAGGGCTATGAGTCGAGCGCTGAAGGAGGGGCTTCATCCACTGTTCCCTGATCTGCCTGAGCTCCAGGTAAGCACGAGTGGAGCTGACTTGAATCCCTCCATGTTGTCTTGCAGAAACCTGCTCACCCTTCGTCCACATGACTAAACTATTAACATACATGTCAGCTTGTTGTTGTGTCAACATGTGTTTGATGGCACATCCTGCCAATTCAACCCCCGAAAAAACAGGTCCATCAGTGAAAAATGCAGAAGTTTTCCCCATGAGGCCTTGCAGTGAGTTGACAGAATAAACCTTGGAGGAGGTCCATGAAGGTCCCACATGTGCAGCTGTCAGATCTTCTCCTTACCCCGAGGTTGCACTGAACACGGAACGCCGCGGGCGTCCATGCACTGCACCTGCCGCGGTTTTTGCCAAGGCCCCCCAAGGATTATAATAAAGCCATTTACATGCATAAACCAAGCGGAACACTATGGAGATAGCCGTACTGCTCCACTTGATCAAATAAAATCTGTTGGACTCTTTTTGGCATCAAGACGATTATTCTTATTGCCAGACGGGACACTGTTAAAAAAAACAAAAAAAATGAAACCATCTGAACAGAGGGTGTGAAGTAAGAAGCATGTCCAAAGCACAAAGCATTGGAAAATTGAACTTGCGGTTCAGCTGTGGGTTGAGAGACGGAGAAAACGGGATGGAAATAAATCAACCTTTCATGGGTTTCTAGGCTTCACCTGTTTTTCTTTATTAGTGTCTTTTTTCAGCGCTTTAGCTGCAGAGCTCCTAACGCCGTCCATCCCAGAGCCTTCTCTTTGACCTCTGCTCCTTTGTTCTCCTGTGCCTCAGCTCAGCGTGGACATGACTCCAGGAAAGATCCGCTGCAGCAGAAGAGGGATCGTCCTGAGCCGCGCCGAGGACCGCCTGTCCACCAGCAATGGGGAGAGAGGACTCTACCAGTACCTGAGCTCGGTGCAGGGTCTAGGGGGCTTCCAGGACCACTTTGACTGGTACCCATTTAGATGCTGCAGCACAAACACAGCACCACTCTCCTCCTCTTCTCTTTTTAATGATTGTTTGTCCTGGTTTCTGCATCCAGGTGGGCTAGCAACACCTTCTCCATACGAGGAGGGAAACCGCTGTGGATTGACCCCTTTGACCAGCATGTTCAGCACATCTTCATAGACGACAACATCCGACAGAATGATGAGGACACCATAGTCAGTCCCAAGGTGAAGCAGCCTCTTCCAATGAGCAAACCTTCAAGCTCAGCAGCTATCTACTGCTGTAATACAAAATAATACTAAAACAAGACTATACAGTCAGTTTAAGTTAAACATTCTCAGATATTTATAGCCATCCATCTATTCGGTTGTCTATCTAGCAACATGAGGAACAATCGATTCCATGAACATCCTCAAGTCTTTTCAAAAGGATATTATGATCAACTGGATCAAATGCAGCACTGAGATCTAACAGGAGAAGTATACAAGTCAATTATCTGAAGCTATGAGAGCATCTTATCAACCTTCACCAGAGCTGTTTCAGTGCTATGATGAGCTCTAAAGCCAGACTGAAACTCTTCAAAACGTTCATTATGGTGCAAGTGATCGCACACTTGTTTAGAAACTACCTTTCAAGAATTTTAGATAAAGCCGCTCGTACACTGTACCATTATTTCAATCGTTGCACGCAGCTACAGCTAAAACCACAGGGTTAAAAGTTCACAGTTCTCACACTGTGCGACGATGCTCTGATGCGACCTCCCTGCTCACACTGTACATCTAAAAACCTCAGCTTCGCAGTGAGATGGCGCTACTCGGACTCGTCTATCCAAAAGCCAAACGAGTAGAAGAGGAATATGAAGCTCACCAGAGTGAAACGCGCTGCCTTGGCTATTTGTACAATTTTGTGCTGAAAGCCCTAAAAAGAAAAGGCGACGACGTATTTGGAAACAGACATGGCTGAGCAATCGTGGCTACTACGGTCTGTTAATTTTACAGAAAAAACTCCATTTCACTCATTGTACCGCCATGCTGCTGGGTTTCATCTGAGAGGAAGACGATTCCTTGTTTGCGCACCGAGCGATTTGCCCATGACCACCTCACGACGGCCGCCTGAATTTCAAACATGTTTGATTTTCTCCCGACCTTATGATTCCTGATGGGGAGGTGGTCGTTAGAGGCTGATCGCCCCGCGTTACCTCCTGTTCACTACATAGGGGTTGACGTTAAGGATCTTTACCAAGTTAGCCTCGTGAGACCATCCTGATCTCACGAGCTTTCAAGGTTTCACTCGCAGATCAGTCTGGAGACTCTCCGTTAAAGAAAATTTGGAGCCGTTCACCAAACGAACGTCCAATCAGCGTTGGCTTGTGCACCGCTTTAGGTGTGATGCAACGAGAAGCGCGACAGTTCAGTCTAAA